CCGTGTCGTCCTGCCCACCAGTTGCGGCCTCATCAATGATTAAACCACCAGTTATTGTCTCACCAATTATGGCCTCTTCAGTGGCGGTCTCATCTCTGATGGGCTCACCAGTTGTTGCCTCGTCAGTTACTGCCTCATCAGTGGAATCGTTCGGCCACTTCCCCGACTTCTCTGGTTGGCTGGGCACCCCGAGCGGCGATGATTCGTTAAGTAAAGCGTCTTGCGCAAAGAGCGGGTCGTCCCAGGGTGACATCTGATCCAACGACAGGGAGTCCAACGACACCGGGTCCAACGACAGCTGGTTCAGCGACATCCCGTCCCAAGGCAGCGACATCTGGAACAGCGAGTTTGATTCCGGCTGGGGGTCCAGGGCTTGCGACTGGTTAAGTAGCGAGTCCAGGTTTAAGGCCATCGTCGCTAAGCAACTGCGTGACCTGCGACGTGCCGGCCCGATAGTCCCCCGCATTTAAATTTGCATTCACTCGGCCTCCGTCGGCGGCTGCCCGGCCTCCGTCGGCGGCTGCCCGGCCGGCGGTGCTGCCATCCTCAACTTGGCTCCCATCATTCGGTCACGTCGCCGGCGGACGTGAAGTCGGATCATTACACATTCGGGCGGTCTAGTGTTAAGGGCTTTACGTCCGATTCTTCCTTCCAGTCGCGTTACAGGTCCGTGACTGGATGGGACGGGCACCCGACTGAAGAGGGATGGGCACCCGACTGAAGAGGGCAGAGCCCGCCGCGAACAATACAGAACGGCATCGAGATCCTCAGGCAGGAGAAGACGCTCATAAACACGGCCCTTTCTTTTTGTGCTCAGCAGAGGCCGTACTGCTCTTCTACTCACTTACTGCCTTTGATCTCCAACCGCGTTTACGGGAATTCCCATTTCTTTGGAGCAAGCCTCGAGCCAATCCGTGCAGGAACAATTCGGCTCCATGGTCTGCGCCTAAGACGTGCCCAGCAGCGTACTTGCCTCAATTCTCACCGTCGGTGCCTCGCATGCATCTGTGGTTCACCTAGAGTTGTTCGCTGGCGAGGAAGTCTTTCTCGTATTTGGCTGGCGTCAGCTTGATAAAGCTAGGCCGGGCAGGGCGCGCAGATGCGGGTTTCCGAGTGGGCACGAAGACCTGGCTCTGTTCTCGCTGCAAATTATAGGGCAGCCGGCGCAGGCTATTGACGATGCTCACGCGCACCAGAAGCGGGTCTGTGCGGGCAAGGATGGCTGCCTGTTCCCTTAACTCTCGACATCGCTCCTGTGCCAGTCGTTCCCGCATGCGCTCCGTCTCCTTCCTTATCTTACTCAACAATGCCTCGTCCAGCTCGCGACGCTCCTCATCCCTCCGTCGTCGGATCGAATCCCGACGTCGGGGTCTCCCTCTCTCTCGGCGTCTTCCTCCCTCTTCAGGTCTTCCCCCCTCTTGGGATTTTCCTCCGGTGCGGCCGGGGGTCCGAGCAATTCGACCACCAACTAGACTGTGCCCATCTTCCTCCTCTTCCTCCTCTTCCTCTTCCTCCTCTTCCTCCTCCAAAACGTCTTCGAGAAAAACGGGTAGCACCTTAGCACTCCTTACGTACTCGCCTTTACCCAAGTACTCCTCGATCATATCCACACGAATTCGACACTGCGGACACGATGTATCACGCTCGAACCATTGCTAAACAGATGTGTGTAACATACTAGGAGAATCATAGGGAGGGAAAGAAACAAGGAGCCCTACGATTAGGCAGTTCTTATGGTAGAGATGGTTGCAAAGTTCTGGTTTGTGGATCAGAAGTTCGGCGTTCTGGTCGAGGAGTTCGTTCTCCGTGGCATCGATGAGATCGAGCAGGCACGCCCCACAGCAGCCCCCAGCGACCTCTTCGGGCTGCAGGTTTGTGGGTCGTCGTTTCTTCGTTCGCATTTTTAATGTCCTATCTGCCACCCACCTTTGCAGCCTTCATGGCTTCAAAGGGGGACCGGGAAAAGGCTAACCTGACTTCCAACTCCTTCAACTCCTTTGGACTCAATCCCTCGAGACCCAACTTGCCGAAACCCGCGGCCGTGGAGACCGAGAGTGCAAGACCAACACGGCGGAACAGGAGAGAGCTGCTCTCGCGGAGCAGGTCGGAAGTGATGCAGCGCCACTGGACAGACTGTGCGGATTCGACACACTGTGCGGATTCGACACACAAAACCAAACACGCCATTGGGGCACACGTCACGGGGGGCGTCCTCAGCTCCGACCGCGGAGAGGGCAGTCGTTGGGGCCCCTCCAGCACACCTGTGTACTGCCCACATCTGAGCGAGTCATACACCGAACCAGGAACGAAACTGGCTCCGAACGGGGAACGGGTTTTGACGCCGCCGACACCGCACGAACTAATGCCCCTGATTGGGCCGGAGGGGATGGGATCGGAGCGGACGGGACCCGAGCCGGAGGTGGAGGGGACGGAGGCGGAGCGGGAGCGACGACCTAGAACTGTGGTTACGCGTCGCGAGGTGCGTCTGCCAGCGGCGATTGTGCGTCGGTCGCAAACGACGGACGGAGTATACCAGGAGCGTGCGGCGACCGGCGGCGCAGCGCCTCCCGAGGTGTTCCCCCGAGTCAGTCGGTTCAGCAGAATCGCCGCTCCTGCGACCGGAATCCGGCCTTTTGCGGGATCGGGATTGAAGCCGGTCGTCACGCCGCCACCCTTGGAGAACCACTCGTCCGTGGAGACTGCCAGCTCGCAGCATGTGGCCATAAAGATTGCTGGGTATCCGGAAAGCAAGTCCCGACGACCGAGTACTGCAGGTCCCAGGGCTACTGCAGGTCCCAGTACCGCTGCAAATGGGACCAGTGGTGTTGGCCTGAGTAATGCTGGTGGCAGTGCGGCTGGTCGGAGTGGGCCGGGTCGAAGCAATTGTCGATTGCTGACTAGTCGGGATTTGGAGGGGGAGGCGCATGTAATGGAGGTATGTAGTCCCACTTTGACCACAACGGCCAGGCGGGAGGCGCAACGACTGCACAGCGTGCCGCCTTCGCCGCTGCGTCCGTTAGTACGACTGGTGTTCGTAGCGAGCGAGATACCGTTCCTGATTCTCATGACCTACGCCATCTACTGGTGTGAAGTGTGCTACCTGGCCGCACACAGAGCGCCAATAACCGTCTGGCTTAACGCACTGGTAGCCGGCGTACTAGTCGGTGTTGGTCTCAACGCCAACGCATATCGGGCTCTATACCGACCCATTAGTCGCACCCGCAAAAGACATGCCGAGAAACGAAAAGGCCTTCAAAACGGCAAACTTGTAGAGTCCAGCGTTAGCCCCATGAGCCACAACGCAGGTGGACTCAGCACCCGAAGCGTAACCCCCCCCCCTTCCCAGCTGCCATTGTGATTGCGGGGTCCTCCATTGCGGGGTGGGGGCGTTGCAGACATCTCCGGCTGATGACACCCCCCCCCCCCCCCCCAAGTGGGGTTCCGAACGATATCTGGTGCACGATACCCGTTCAACGACGATACCTGCTCCACTATGATTGACTTTGCAGTTGAGAATTTGCGCCTTCGTATCCTCTGCAAGGATGCCGTTATCGTGGAGTGAAACGGAAAGGGAGTTTGACTACGGGATGATGATCCGATTCTTTATCATTCCCTTTGGCGTCTCCTCCATTTCCGGGATTACCAGCAACGCTAGAGATGACTTTGTGTTGGTCTTTCCCAAAGATCAAACCATGCTGTTAGCTTTCATTGCCATTCCTACCGCATGCGTGGGTAAGACTCCACGCTTCCCTTCGGCTCACGCTTCCCTTCGGCTCCCCCCACTATCTTGATGCCCTTCACGGCCTCAATGGCCTTCACGGCCTCAATGGCCTCCACTGCCTCGATGGCCTCCAGTGCCTCAATGGCCTCCACTGCCTTAATGGCCT